TGAACGGTATGGTCAATGTTTGTAAACACTGTGACATTTTGACTTTATTTGATCATTTCAGTTAAAAACTAACGTTCATATTTCATATTACTGTTTTGCCTGGCTGGACCTGTAATTTACAGGAAAGGAGTGCACGCTACTAAAGAGACACGCTACCATGGAAACCAAACAATGGTGTTGCTGTATTGAAGTCCGAGTGGAAACAGTCATATTTGGAGCGTTATGTTAGAATGAAACAGCGAGGTCGTGACTCACAAAAAAAAAGTGTTACTTCACTAACTGTAAGCTTGTCACTCAGAGTAACCTACAGTTAACTTAACTGTTGGAAAAGAAAGATCAGAGTTAGGAGTGTGAACACACAGCTGAGAGCTGCCGTTTCATTCTGACTGTTTAAAAAACGGTAACAACGGACTATTTTTCTTAGCGGATGCATGTAAATTTAAATCAATACATAGAACTATGTTTTAAATCAATAAAAATATTTTCTAAATCCATAAAAGCATTTTAATTAATATTGGGAGTCATGTCGTTACTTTGTTGAGAATGTGGCCATGTAATAAGCGGGATAATTTGCAGCGACTTGGTCATTATGGGGAAAAATAACACCCAGGGATCAAGATCCCTCCGCGACGCGGAGGGATCAGTAATTTTTAGTGAATTACTGAGTTTAGGCACGTTAATAACATTTTAATGAAGTTGAATACAGTATATTCATATGTGTCAGTGATTTCATGTCAATTCGGCGAACATAAACGATTAAATTAGGATTAAAAATCGAGAGCCGGCTGCTGTTCGTTACGGTAACCCAACTAGGACACTTGACACAGTGGCTTTTGGCAAAGCACACAAAGAAAACAAAAAAAAACCGAGAGAGATGAGTTATTGTTATTACAACGTGACTTCACTATTATTTAACAACTATTTTTATTGGGTTCTTTTATTTGGGGTTAAGTACATTGTCAGAATAAGTGAGAAATGGATTTAACTTCTGTTAGACAGCTATCATACTGAATAAATATTTATGCAAAAAATGTATGGCATTAATAATGTATATCTAATTACATTTAAAAATGTATGGCATTAATAATGTATATCTAATTACATTAACTGTGAATGTCTTTCATTTTATTTAAAATGAAATAAAATTACATAAAACATTTTCCATAAAAAAGTTGATTCAAGAACAAATCAGTACTTTTCTTATATGACTATTATTGCTAAATTTGAAAGGTCTTTACCAGCTTTGGAATTATATATATATATATATATATAGCACCTTCTGCCATCCCATCTCTACTGACATATGGATCTTAACAAAGATCCGCTATACATTAGTACCAGATATACTGTACACGGACATTTTAGTGAACCAGACCAGCTGTTTCCGCCGGGTCTTCGCTTCCCGGGCATCACGTTGTTTACAAGTGTGTTCAGATGCTAAATGACAAGTGCAAGTGACAATTGTTGTCGTCTTCTCTGTGAACGTTTTTTTCTCCGTTATTTTGCCATTTTCAGATTTAAATTTCGAGCGGAAAGCTAACCAGGAAGTAATAATTACTTAAGCGGAGAACGGAGAAAGTAAACGTTACAGCAGGCATAACAACAGCCGGTGTTTATTTTATTATAATATATATCATTTGTTTTAAAGCTCAATATATAGTTCTATCCGTGACATATGGATCTTAACAAAGATCCGCTATACATTAGTACCAGATATACTGTACACGGACATTTTAGTGAACCAGACCAGCTGTTTCCGCCGGGTCTTCGCTTCCCGGGCATCACGTTGTTTACAAGTGTGTTCAGATGCTAAATAAAAGTTTAGCTTGTACTTTTGATACCCCGCCTCTCGGCACCACAACATCCAGCTTACTGTATTTCACATGAGCGATGTCGAACATTGAAAAGTCCTTATAAAATCTCTGTTATTAGATCAGTACTTTTCTTATATGACTATTATTGACTTGAACACTGAGAATGTATTTATTAACTTCAGACATTTGAAATATTTGAAATCAGATGAAAACAAACTGTAACGGACCCTGCCGTGTTATCTATGATTACTATGCCTTACTGTACATTCATAATTTCAGCCGGAGGTAGGTGGTAGGCGTTGCGGAGGAGCAGATTGCGAGTGAGGTGCCTGTTCTAAACGAACTATTCCAGCTGTTATAAAGCATTAAATAAAAAGTAAGCAAGGAATACAGAATGTTTCGTTACGTAACTTTGTTGAGAATGTGGCCATGTACATGTAATACATGGGATCATTTGCAGCGACTTGGTCATTGTGGGGAAAAATAACACCCATCCTGATCGTTTCAATGAAGTTGAATACAGAATATTCATATTTGTCAGTGATTTCATGTCAATTCGGCGAACATAAACATCAATGATGATGATTAAATTAGGATTAAAAATCGGGAGAGCCGGCTCGTTCGTTTTTTCCGACTAAACAACATCTATTATTTAGAAGTTGATTTCACATGACTCCAGTGTGGAACCCCACTGCACCCCCTGGTGGATCAATGATCCATTGCAGCTGGCTTCACAATAATTAAATGTATTTATCATGGGGGCGGTATCAAGTCTGACTGGGGGCCGGCCGGCCATCACGGAACGTGCATGAACCGATCACGACCCTCGCACTTTAAACTGTCCAAAATAAGACGCTTCATCTGTAAGATCACTTTAACAAGATGCCTGTGTGCTTAGTACCAGGTTGTTATCATACCAGCAATGGGTCTTGCTCGTTCTTTTGCTTCCCGTCTGATGAAACGACCAGGAGTGGCTTGATCAAGTTAGCTACCTAGCTAGTAGCTAGCACGTTAGTTAGCATTACAGCCTTGTCATTTGTATTAGCCTTAACATGAAGTAACATTAAGTAACCCAAAATGTTAAACAGTAAGAGTAGTAGTCATATTTCGTGAACCCTTTGAAGAGTACTGTCACCGGTGTGATCATTCTATAATACACCATTTAAGCCCGGGGGAGAAATGCTAACGCTAACGCTAGCGATCTTCTCTACTTCATGCTATCTGCACAAATGGTTGAAATTAAAAAGACCAGGCAGTTCAGAGAGAATCAAAGGAAGGCAGGCAGGCAGCTTTGCATGACATTCTTCTGGACGTGTTTCATTGTGGTGATAGTGAGGGTAGTCAATCGTTTTGTTGACAAGACAGTAGTGACGGCCATCTTGGTGACGTGTGTGGTTGACCAGAGATGTAGTTCATTGAGCGTTTCACACAAACAAATGTGTTACTTCACAGTTTTACGACACATTTTATTTTTTTTGACTTGCAAAATTATCTTTTAAATTGACAAACATCATATGTGTAATTCGTGGTACAATTCAAACGGGATCGAAAGATAATCTTTCTCTCTCCATTGACTTCAATACATAATTTTTCCGAAATAAGGTCCCATGGAGGTCCACCGGAAGGGGAGGGACTTCGCCACTCTATAACCGGCAAGAGAGAAAGCCTTTGAGCTCCATACTGTTTCAGAAATAATCCTTGATAATCCATGATATGGAGTTTCATCACGGCAGTATTTAGTTTAGACAGTAGCTGCCGGGTCCCGCATGAGCTCAGACCCCTCCTTTTTTATTTTGTAAAGCTTTATACCCCAAATCATCACTTTTGAAACAGGAAGTGAAATAGAGGGATATGAGGCATGGCTAGAATGGGTGATCTGCTTGGTGTTTTGAGCAAAACACTTCATAGACATGTTTTTTATATATTTGTATATATCTGAGACCCATCATGCTATTGCCTAAAAATAGCATGATAGGTGACCTTTAAGTATCGTGATAGAATCGTATCGTGGGGAGCCTGGTGATTCCCACCCCTATGCAATAAGTTTAAAAAGCTACTCTAAAATATCTCCTACTTACCTCATTCAAGTATTACAATATATCAATGACTTCACTTAGCAAATAGAGTAAATCATTCATGAATTAATTAAATGTAGAGGCAAGGCGAGACACTGCAGGAACATGTGTAAGGTGGAAAATGGGAACATTACGACACAGAGAAAGTTAAAATGCTGTCATGATCCAAACACTAGAATACAACAGTAACATTATTAATTGTGAAATGTTTTTTATTATACCAGTCAATCATCGAGACACACAGCTGAACATTTATCAAACTATGATGACGGATGAATTTGAAAGTCTTGCATAGATTTTTGCAAGAAAACGTAAAGTAAGCGACTCTCACAGAGACCTCCCCTGTACTGTTGCTATAGAGTGGTGCAGTGACGAGTCCTAAAACCCGGAAGTGAGTCAGCATTTCACCACTTCCTGTTCCCTGGTCTCAGAGCCAACGGGATCGCTCCATAGGATTTTGGAAAATAGCTGGAAATAAGGTCTGTGGAAAGCGAACCTGTTTGATAAATGCACGTTTTGTTCAACCGGGTAATCTCCACATGTCTACCCTACTTTTATAATGTTCTAATCATAACTCTAATGTCCAGAAGCAAAATGCTAACGTTATGCTATAAAGGAACTACAGCCGAGTACAGCAGCACGACTTCAACGTCACGCCAACTTCAGATCCATATTCAAACACACAGATTCTAAATGGTACGAGTTGAAGCGTTTGTTTGAACAGTTTGCAGGAGGCAGGTACTTGCTTTCAAGCAGAACAGGGCAAACTAACTTAGAGGAGTGTTTACGTGTTCGGCGTAATGACGTACAACGTCCTCCACGACTTCTGTAGTCCTATTCAGTCACTTGGTAACAACCATCGTTTTTCAGACACGTCAACTCTTCAGAAATCACCAGTGGGGTCACTGCTGATGGATTTAATGTCCTAGAACAAAACGTGATCCGTCTCTTCAATGTGTCTCAACCACAGACCTTAGTTCCAGATATTTTCCTAAATCCTATGGAGAGATCCCATTGGCTCTGAGACCAGGGAACAGGAAGTGGAGACATTCTGACTCACTTCCTGGTTTTAGGACTCGTCACTGCACCACTCATGTCAAACCCTTCTTACCTGTGTGCAGCAGGTGTGCAGGCAGGTCGGTGCTGAGGAGGAGGCAGAACTCAGGGTGAGGGGGCTGAACAAGGTGCTCTAATCCTGGGAGGAAACATCCAGCAGGACGGGATAATCTCTCCAGGAACCGAGGAGTGGGAGTCAATCGCTCAACGTGAGTTACCAGGACTCTCAGACCTGCAGAACAAAAGGTTAAATTGAGTTTCAGCAGAACAGAAACACTCATATTGTAATGTTTGTTAATAGATTAACTCACCTTCCTCTGCAGCCTGGTCCAGTTTGTGCATCAGATCAGGATCATCAGCAGAAAGCACCGTCTCACACTCCGTCTCCTTCTCCAGGGAAGCCTTCTCTCCTGCACAACACACACTTACTTTACTGCTTTGACTGGAAAACTGTGATTAATATCCAGGGTTTTATTTTCAATCACTGAACTCTGAAGACCTTTAGTTGGAAAAAGCCTTTATTTCACACAAAACTCATTCCTCTGAGACAGTGAACAAGGCTTGTTTACTGAACAAGTGCTCTCTATCCTCTTCTGAAACCACCAGACTCAGTGACAGTTTTATCCCACAGGCTCTGTGAAGTGCCTCCATAAACATTCCTCTGTTTGTCATCTTGCAATCTACTTATTTATTTAAATAGTTATCACCGCAATAAACCGTATTTAATTTCATCTTAATGTACAATATTTAATTTCACATTATGTTCTTGTATGTATCATATTTTATTTACGTGTATATAGACTGTAGGAGCCACATTTGAAGTAGTAGTTTCTGTGTTGATTACGGTACATGTTTTTGAGTCACTATAGGTGGTGGGCGTGTCAAAGGATTTGGGTGGTGACGTTTGTGGTTATATCCGGTTGCTTTTACCTGCACACTTTGTGATAGATGGAGGGGGAGTGAGCTGGAGAAGGACAATTTTTGTTGACCGCACGCACGCACGCACACATGCACGCACACATGCACGCATAAAAGAATATATGGATATGGACTATTGAACTTTTGCTTGAAAAATAAAAGGTCAAACGCATACTGTTGGAAAGACTGAGTTTTTGCGCGTCCACAGTGTTTTTTCTCTTGTTTAGTCCCTCGCGGGACTTTGTTTGAAAGTTTACTGCCGCAATATTAAGTCAACAAAAAGACTTGTACCACAGCGTGGATCTACGGAAATCGAGGATATATGCGGGGATTCCTAGGATCGATCTGGGACGCTGTGGAATTAAAAGGAAACATTGAAACGCCGTGATTGCCGCTGTATTGGAGAGCGGCTTAAGGAAACTAACTTCAGCGTGCTGCCGCGGGAGGATAAAGACTGACGGACAATCCACACAGCAAGGAGCGAGCGGTATGTAACTTCTTCATTCATGCTGTGTAAATGTTTGTTTGAACACAGTGTGAATAAGTTACTGCTGCGTGTCCATTGGGGACTGACTTTTGCTTGCGTGTGGTGGTTTGTGCCGCTAGAGGTTGTCTATTGTCGGCAGCAGTGATTTACTGAGCGTTTGGCTGTGTGGATTGGAGCATTTGTTGTTCATTCATTAAAACATTAAAGGGATATGTCAATAAGTGGATCAAATTCAGATGTCAATGTGGCAAAAATGGATGAACAGAAGAGGGAGTCGATACTCACTGCCAAGGCTTTGGCAAATAAAATGGAAAAGCTCCAAAAGGAACGTCAATCAAAGGTTCACAAAATGAAAAGTGTGATTAAGACAATGAAGGATCTCATGCAAAGGGATGACAACGCCTCACAAATACAAACTCAACTTGAGCATTTAATTCAACTGGTTAAAGAAACCACCCTGTTACACAAGTCTGTAATAACTCTTCTTCCTGCAGACGAACAGGAAAAACAAAATGTATGGTTTGCCAAGACACTGAAATACAATAATGGATTTATCGACGATGTCAAGCAATGGCTTTCTGAAACTGGGAAACAACCGAGCAGCACCATTGCACATGTTCCCTCAATTGAGATATCTGATGAACACCAACAAAGTACGTCTCATGTTTCAAAACACTCTGGGAGAAATGTTGAAACTTCTGAAGCACAAGATGAAATAAAACCAAGCGACAGTGTTTCAAACATAGGAAGCATTGGGTCTCGCAAGCGGAGCTCTGCTGGAACCAGGTCCAGTGTTTCAACTACATCATCATGCACCAAAGCTGAGGCTGACATGGCCGCTCTCTTGGCACGACAAAGGTTATTAAAAGACAAACATGCATTGGATGAACAAGAGGAAGAGCAAGAGGAAGAGCTCAGGAAAAAGAAGGAAGAGCTCAGGAAAAAGAGGGAGCAACTGGAAATGGAAGTGGAAATAGCTGCATCAAGGGCTAAAATGAATGTGCTAAGACGCTCTGGAAGGTCTCGTGCTGCAAGTGACACATCTGTGAGTCCCAATGGCATGCATTCTTATTTGGAAAGGGGACGAAAGGAAGCCATACTCAGTGCTGGAGCAAAAACATTTGTGCCTGACACAAACAGGCCTACAGGTGGTCAGTCTGACGTACAGTTTTTGCACAGAGAACATGAAGCAGAATATGGACATCTGCAACATCAAGCCACAAGAAGCTCAGAGGCCAATATACATCAAAGTTCATCACAATCACATCCACAGTTACAGCAACAAAGCAATCACCCAGCAGCACCAGCACCAAGCAGCAGTGCTCAGAATCCTTTCATTAATGTCTTGGAAAGACAAAATGAAATAACATCCATGTTGGTTCAGCAACAGTCTCTTTCTTTTCTGCCTAAAAGAGAAATTCAGATTTTTGATGGCTCTTCGTTTCAATATCAAGCATTCATAAGAGCTTTTGAGCACAGCATTGAGGAGAAGACTCACAACCCTAAAGACTGCCTGTATTTTCTCGAACAGTACACCAGGGGGCAGCCTTTGGAGCTTGTCAGAAGCTGTCAGCATATGGCCCATGACAGAGGATATGCCAAAGCAAAGGCTTTGCTACAGGAGCATTTTGGTAATGCACAGAAAATTGTTTCGGCCTACATGGAAAAGGCTCTTTCATGGCAGCCAATAAAAGTAGAAGATGTGCGAGCTCTGCAAGCTTACGGTCTCTTTCTGAGAGGATGCTGCAACGTCATGGAAGAGTTTGAATACATGTGTGAGTTGAACATGCCTAGCAATATGCTAGCCATCATAAAAAAGTTGCCCTACAAATATAGGGACAAATGGAGAACTCTGGCCTATGACTTACAGAAAAGGTAGGGCCGGAGAGCTACATTCATGGATATTGTTAATTTCATTGAAAGACAGGTGGATATTGTGAGCGATCCACTGTTTGGAGATATACAGGATACTCCACCAGCAGCCAACAAAGATGTGAGGAAAGCTAAGTTTGAACCTCGTTCAAGGATGAGGGGAAGCAGCTTTGCTACTACTATTACGACAGCGGAAAAGAAAGTGGAACCTGAAATAAGAATGAAGGAGAGAGGCTCACTAGGTACAAGTGTTTGCCTGTTTTGTGGAGGTAGATATATACTGGATCTGTGTTTTCAACTGGAAAGAAAGGCTCATAGTGAGAAAATCGCTTTCTTAAGGGAACACGGTGTGTGTTTTGGATGCTTGTGTATTGGGCACATGAGTAAAGCCTGTAGGAAACGCCTCTCGTGCAAAGTATGCAGTCTGAAGCACCCAAGCATACTTCATATCTATCAGAAAGAGAAAGAAACTGACACAATGCAAGCTAAAGGAAAAGCTATAAGCAGTGCTCTTATCTCCGTTCAGTCCAGTGGTCTTACAGGGGCCGGTGAGCCAGATTGTACTCTCTCCATAGTGCCTATTCAAGTAAAGTCTAAGAAGGGACATGAAACATTCCTAACTTATGCCTTCCTGGATCCTGGGAGCTCAGCATCATTCTGCACGGAGCGGCCGATGAACAAACTGAATCTCAGGGGAAGAAGAACAGACATTCTCCTTCGGACAATGGGTCAGGAGAAAATAGTTGGAAGTCACATTGTTTCTGACCTGCATGTGGCTGGATTAGACAGCAGTCATTATTGTGAGCTGCCTGACACCTACACCCAGAAAACTATGCCAGTTCATCGAGGCAACATTCCTCGGCAGAAAGACCTTCAGAGATGGCCTCACCTGAAACATGTAATGATTACTGAGATTGATTCAGATGTGGACCTGTTGATTGGGACTAATGTTCCTGAGGCACTGGAGCCATGGGAAGTTACTCGGAGTGTAGACGGGGGCCCATACGCAGTCAAAACTATGCTGGGTTGGACTGTCAATGGACCTCTCAGAGGAGACAGGAGTAGTGAAATTACTTGTGGACAGCCAGATGTCACTGTCAATAGGATATCTGTTGCAAACCTTGAAGATCTGTGGAAGCAGCAGCTAAAGGCTGATTTCCCTGAATGCAGTCAGGATGAGCAGATGGGACCGTCAAGAGAGGACTGTCACTTTATGGAGTACGTCACAAAGTCTGCTAAGTTGATGGATGGCCATTACTGCATTGGCTTACTTTTAAGGAAAAGGGATGTTAGTATGCCAAACAACAGGAGAGTAGCAGAACAACGTACACTGAGCCTCAAGAGAAGGTTTGATAAAGATGCTTCATTTCATGCTGATTACACCGCTTTCATGAATGACATCCTTTCAAAGGGCTATGCAGAGAAAGTGCAAGTTGTGGATCTGGAACGCAGTGACGGCAGGGTATGGTATATACCACACCATGGTGTATACCACCCAAAGAAGAAAAAGATCAGGGTCGTATTTGACTGTGCAGCTACATTCCAGGGAACATCGCTGAATGCGCAGCTCCTACAGGGACCAGATCTTACCAGCACACTGGTTGGAGTCATGACAAGATTCAGAAAGGAACCTGTTGTACTCATGGCAGACATTGAAGCCATGTTTCATCAGGTTCGAGTACCAGCTGAGGATTCAGATCTGTTGAGGTTTCTCTGGTGGCCAAATGGAGATCATCATCAGAACTTAGAAGAGCACAGAATGGTTGCACATCTGTTTGGAGCTACATCGTCGCCAAGTTGTGCTAGTTTTGCCCTTAGAAAGTGTGCAGAGGACCATCGGGAGCAGTTCAGCCCCAAAGTAATCAACACTGTCCTGCACAATTTCTATGTTGATGATTGTCTAACATCTGTGGTCTCAGAGGAGGAGGCAGTGGCACTCTATCATGACCTTTGTGCACTTTGTGCTCAAGGGGGTTTTCATCTCACAAAGTGGATTAGCAACAGACGTACCGTGCTTGCTGCTATACCTTCGATGGAGAGAGCGAAATAAGTTAAGGATCTGGACTTGGATAATGACACACTCCCTGTGGAAAGAGTATTGGGCGTACAGTGGTGTGTTGAGTCAGATGTCTT